GAAAACAACAGCAACACCGACCAGATATTTGATTTTTGGACAAACCAATCACTGGTCTGAGCATTACAAGCTGAAAAAAGCTTAGATTTCAGTCCCATTCCAATCTTCCAGTGTTAATCTCCAGTTAATTTTAAAGCAGATTGACTAAATTTGTACTTCAGTCCAACCAGTGCTGACAGTTTTATATTAAAACTAAATTGCTTGTCAGTTAGAATGACTCACTGATACATTTTATAATTGCCACAGGCTTTATCTTCTCTCTTAGTCCTGTGTTTAGTAGGTGTATTGACTGGAGAGAAACCCTCTTCTGGTGATCTTTCATTTCTTATGGCACTGTCAGGGAAACTGCTTTTTATCACAGACAAGCATAAAAAGGTGGTTGTTTTGTTCTTACATTTATAAAAGTGTATCTTTGTGTAGAGAAATAATACTGTTCATGCTTAAGATCCCTCCTAAAATGTCACCAGCCTCATTTTAGAGAGTTTTTTTTTATGAGACTTGAGCTTTAAGACAGACATCCTAAACCACAGAGACTTCTGGGGTTTAGAGTGTCTGTCTATCAAAAAAAAACTTAGCTTTACTGCTGAATATTTCTACTTCTGGACTATTGCACAGATGCAAATCCAAATTATTTTCAGTGTGTGAGTGTGTGAATGAATGTAGTGTAAAGCGCTTTGGTCAAGTCTCCTAACTTGAATAAAGGCGCTATATAAGTACTTACCATTTACCATTTATTTCTATTTGCAAATACAGATAGTTCTGGTTATCTGCTCCATAGGTAACTCTCACATTGTCTGCACATGCATGTATTAGTATAACCACAAGCTGAATGTCAAGCTTGCTGCTAAATATAATTCTTTGTACAGTAAAAGCATGAAAAAAAATTGTTGAAATCCTGCCCAATGCTCTCTGGTATTTGTGCATGACCTGCTGCAAAAGGATGTTCTGCTTTTGTGTTCTCCAGGCTACTTCTTAACTGAAAGCAAAAAAATCATGCAAATCTTTTTTTTTTAATATATAGAACAAAGCTTAAAAGTTATGAAGAGTCTCCTTGTGTCTTTGATATCAGGAATATTGCTTCCACATGTTTTAGAAGTTCTATCTGCCTAAATTATAACTTTGAGAGTGACAAATTTAGAGGGGGAGCTTAATGCTTTGGAAACCAAATGGAGATCTACAGTATTAAGCAAAACTTAAAGGATAGAAGAGAAAATGACTACTAATTTTGGTAAGAGGAGGTACTAGGCTGATTTAAGGCTGATTTCAGGCTGATTTATATGCTGAAACAAGGTAATCTGCGTGTGTGTTGCAGTTAATGCAGATATGTCCTAGCCCCTACCACAGACACTCTGGAGCATCTCTCCGAAATTGTAGTTGATCACAGACAGGGGACAGACAAGAGGCCTCTGAATAGTCAAATCTACATCCGCTCTACACTATGCGTATTTCCTGTTTGGCACCTTACTGGCTTGTTCTGTTTGTATGACCACCATTGCAGAAAACGACTGGTGAAGTTGGACAGCTAGAAGACCGAGGCGTGCGAGAACGCTAGGACCCTTTTTCCACCTGAATCCCCGCTCTTTTTCATGTCCCTCCATTGTTGCACAAACTTGCAACTTGCTTTTTTCCACTTCCTCACTGCTTCGGCCGTATCTGGACCCACAGCTGGTTCGTGATTGTCCCTCTTGCATTGTCTTGTGGAATAGCATAGTGCAGACCATGCCTCAAAATTGGGCATAAATCAAAAATATTTGCGTCAAAACAGCGACAAGCTCTGCAACACACTGCTGCGGGAGGATAACCAGCCCTATAGACTCTTTGTTGGCTTGCAGGATAGTGACTTTTACATCAACAGTGGTTCTGTTTGCCCACAGAGCACTCCTATTTTGCTAAGTTGGACTTGCTTCTCTCTATGTACTGGTTTTGAGGTGTGGTTTTTTTCTCAGTTTGTATTCAGACAATGATATAAAAAATTACCAATATGCAGACCATGTCAGTGCATCGGCAGACAGCAATACGTAAATCTATCGAGGCCTTAACACAGAAAAGTCAGCAGTTGACGCCAAAGACAGATTTAATGCAATAGCTGCTTATAAGATTGACCAGGTCTAGGTGACTCAGCTTGGGCTTACTTCCTGTTTGGATGAAAACGTTTCTTTTGAGATTCAAGCTCATACTCTGTAACAAAGATTCTCTAATGAAACAGACCTAATATAGAGGAAACCCAACAGTTCAATGCAATTTTAAAATTCCATGTTCAAAAACTACATGAGGTGATACCAGAGTAAGTTAGCTCCTTAAGCTGCAAACATTTAATATTCTATAATAGCACCATCCACTTTAGTTACCAGGAAAGTTCTAAAACAACAGTACTTCAAAAACCAACAAAAAAGTATAGACACATGCCAGAGCTAGCATGCAGTATTTCCTCTCTGTTGGCTTATGAGGGTATCAGGTTGGCTCTGCAGTGGGATACATAGTACCATAGACAACATATGTTACATTTTGGGACATCTTTTAGTTTCATGAGTTTGATTGAATGATCTTTATAAATGCTAAAAAAAAAAATCTGAAGGGATTACAATGCAAAACTGACTTGAATTTTCTATTGCACACTTTGCTCACTGTAAATAAAAGTAAAAAATTGAAAGTGGACAATAATGTTGACTTGTGATTTCTAGCGCTTGCTTTCTGCCCGAAAAAAATACACATTTGATACAAAAAAAAGTTAAAACATTTCTCTATCTAAAGTCTGACCAAGGTCTGGAGGCGAGGTTTTACAGATTATTTTATTAAAAATATTTTACTTTCAACTAAAATATCTGAACTCTATTCTGCACATTCAAGGCAATGTTTTCACGCAATAACAGTATTGGATTTAAAAATATATCCAGTATTGAACCTTACAATGATTTCTTAGCTATTTTAATCATCAGCAAATGAACTAGCCTACATAATAAGATGACTTTTTTTGTGTAAGC